AAGTTGAAGCGAACTGAGCTTGCGAAGCCTATTGAGTTGCATCTTGCTGTTCAGGGCTCACGCTCAAAGGTTAATTATGGTACACAATCTGATTTCAAGTACCAGAATATCAAGGAACGTCGATACTTTGATATCGTAAACCTATCAAATTATGATGTGATTCTTGGAACGCCATTTCTGTTCCAGCACAAGGTATCCTTTGGTTTGAATGAGGAACATATCATAATTGGAAGTGAGACGAGCCTACCTATCCGTGGTGAGAATGTTGCTCAAATTGACGCTCGGGCTGTTGATATAGCAGAGGAGCAACTAGGACATGTCCGAGAGCACTTGTTTGAGTATGCAGCACCATTGTTTGTTGATGCTGCTAAGACACCGTTACCTCCGTTTCGAGCAATCAACCATGAGATTCCAATTATAAATGAAAACCAGGTCTATACCTGGCGTTCATCTAGATGTCCTGAAGCATTGCGCCAGCAGTGGGTGCAGAAAAAGAAGGATTATCTTGCAACAGAACATTGGAAGGTAACCACAGCCCGTAATACTGTTCCAATGCTGTGCATATATAAGCCTCATAGGCCGAAAGGTGCACCAGAGCTACGTACCGTGTTTGATCTTCGTGAACGAAATCGGAATACCCGGAAGCTCGCTGCACCATTACCACCCATTGATGGGGTTCTTCGTCGAGTTGCTGGACATCGATACCGTTCATTGATGGACTTGCAGAGTGCCTATGAGCAGATTCGGATTAAACCTGAACATGTTGGACATTCGGCAGTGACTACACCTGACGGAAATATGATTAGCCTAGTCATGCAACAAGGTGATTGTAATGCACCGGCCACATGCCAGGCATTGATGAATCACCTGTTCTCTGCCTACATCGGGGTCTTCATGGATGTCTACCTTGATGACATCATTGTGTACTCAGATAGCCTTGAGGACCATGTTAGGCATTGCCATCTGATTTTCGATATCCTGAACAAGGAACGTTTATATCTCAGTAAGAATAAATGTCAATTTCTGGTATCGGAATTGCACATTCTAGGCCATATTGTCGATGACAGTGGTATTCGCATGGATCCTGATAAGGTTGATTCTGTCATCAACTGGAAGGTTCCTACTACACGCGAACGACTCCGTGGCTTTTTGGGCTCAGTCGGCTATCTCGCTGATGATGTGGGTAACGTTCGCATACCTATGGGTGTCCTCCACAAGTTAACAGGGAATACGGTTCCCTATAGATGGACAGAGACTCACCAGCGTGCCTTCGACGAGGTCAAGGCACAGGTTCAGGCACATCAAGACCATCATCGGGTGCCTCTAAAATATAACAAGGGCTCGCCACGTCGATGGGTGGTTACCGATGCTTGCCATTCAGGAATTGCTGGATATGTTGGCCAAGGAGATGACTGGAAAACAGCACATATTGCTGCATTTTTCTCTGCAAAGTTACAGCCTGCTCAACAGAACTATCCGGTCCATGAACTGGAAATGCTGGCAGGCCTCGAGACCATGAAACGACATCGGGATATACTACAAGGATGTCAGTTCACTTGGGTGACAGACCACAAAGGTCTCATTCACCTGTTACAGCAGAAAAATCTGTCGGGAAGACAGGCTCGCTGGATGGAAACACTATCAGATTTTGATTTCGATGTTGAGTATGTTTCAGGAGCTGAGAATACCCTCAGTGATGCATTATCTCGCATGTATGCTAGCGACGCACCTGGAACAGTGCGCGCTCCTTCGGAATACACTCAATATGATGAGGACTTTCCTCAGTCCGAACTTGCTGCTAATGGGATCACAATGCCGGTCCTTGTTGGTCTTGAGGCGAGTGCAGTGCGTACACGGTCTGGAGGGCGCGTAACACAGCCTTCAGTGGCAGTTGGTGATCAAAAATCCACGAATTCAAAGGCAAATCAGCCGGGAAAGCCTGCGGGTGCTGATGCTGCAGATAAACTGTATATTCGGCTGCCAGCTCGTTCTGTGACCTCTAAACAGTCACAGAAGCTGAATCCCACTACCTCAGAGGCTCCGGATGAAAATTGGGTCACCAAGGACAGTGGCTTCAGCTTGGAGAGCGAGGGTAACAAGCAACCGTCGCTCAATCCAACCAATTCTACTGCTCACGTGGATGCACAGCCACTGCCTGGTGCAACGTTGCTGTTTGACCCCTCGCACTCAGCTGCGACAGCTCAATCCAGAAAGGCTGTAGAAAATAGAGATATCTATTCTACTGAAAGTCAACCTACACCTGGACCTAGCACAATAGTAGGCGAGAGCATTCTAAATGCACCTACTATAGAACAAGTCATGGAGGGCCTTAGAACTCAGCCTTCTGAATGGTCTGACCCTGTGGAGAACTCATTGATGGGTTTTCTGAATCATAAGTTAATGGGAGTTAACTTATTGGATATTATCCGGCTCAATTATACCAAGGATACACTGTTCAAGAAAATCCTGAGTGAACCGAAGAATTACAGGAACTATACCTTGCGTGATGGCCTTCTGTATTTGAAAGACAATGAGCGGGAACTGCTCTGCATCCCTGAGTCAGTCACAGTTGATGGTAGAAGCCTCCACGAGATTATTATCTCTGAAGGACATTCCTTGCTAGCACATCTTGGCGCCGCAAAGACTCGAGTGTACTTACGTGACCATGTTTGGTGGAAAACTATGAATACAGACATCCATCAATACTGCGAGAGCTGCGAAACGTGCAAACGAAGCAAACCTTCAAATCAGAAGCCATATGGATTACTGAATCCACTTGACATTCCGTCGTACCCTTGGGAACCAATCGGAATTGATTTCATTGGTCCACTACCTGAATCAAAGAATCGGGATGGTTCTTTCAATGCTCTGACAGTTGTAATAGACTTACTGTCAGGCATGGTGCATTTAATTCCAAGCC